GGGTGGCTGGCTTGCTCAGCTCCCGGGGCTGCTGGCTGAGCAGCTTCTGACAGCAGAAGAGCCGGGTGCGGAGGGACTGGCAGACGCCGGAGGACGTGGGGCGGCTCGGTGGAACCAGATGCTCGGCCTGGCCTCGCTCAGCCCCCCCTTCCCGCCTCTGCCTTCCCTGTGGGGGCCGGGGAAGAGGACCCCGGCTGACCTGGCGTTGGCAGGACCCGAGGGGCCAGCCCCGGCATCCTCCCCGTGGGTGGGACTGCGGTGCCCGGCGTAGACCAAGGAGGATGGGGCTCCGGCGGCTGGTGGTGGCCGAGCGGCCCGTGTGGGGCCAGGCCTGGGGCCCCATGGAGGTGCTGAGGGACGCTCTCCACCATTTGGCATTCCAGATGTCGACCTACAAGCGGGCCACGCTGGACGAGGAGGCGCTGGTGGACTCCATGGACGGTGACCTGGACTCCAACAGGATCCAGGTAAGATCCCAATCCCTTTGGGGGGGGGAGTGCCTTTTGCCCGTCTGCCCTAGGGGGGGTGGATGGGTGGGCTGGACAGGTTTCCCTTCTGCCCTGTCTGGCCCACGGGGAAGGCCTGGGCCCTGGCCACCCCCCGACGGGCAGTGGCCCTGCCACGGTCCCGGACCTGCTCTGGAAGGAGAGCGGTGCCTCCATTGGGTCTCCTCTGACCTGCCCCTGCCCTGTGGTGTGAGGGGCAGAGAGCCATCGGGTGGGGGGAGCGTCTGAGTCGTTCCTCTTCCCCTCTGTGGGAACGCTGCGCTCGTCTTGGTGCAGAACCTGGAAAAAATTATGTGCCGTCTCTTTGATAATGAGAGCGAGGGAGGAAGCGCAAGGACACCCCCCCCACCCCATCCGTGTCCAATGACGTGAGTGAGTTGGGAAGGACCCGCTTGCCAGGCGGGGTCTGGAAGAGCTGTGATTTCCACCTCCCCACCCTGTATTTTCCTGTTCCAGTTGTGACTCTGCTTAGGGTTCAAAATCAGGTGGGACCAGGTGTGTCTTGGGGGCAAGGGTGGGATCGATCCAGTACCACCCACATATGACTGTTGGTGATGCCACGGCTGGTACAAGGAGGAGCCTTCATCCAGGCTGCCTCTTTTCCCAGCCGCTGGGGTCCTCCTTCTCTCCCTGTCACCTTAACCCATTTTTTGTTGTTTGTCTCCATGGCTTGTCTTGAAAAACTGGCTCTTCCCCACCAGAGGATTGTTTGTCTGCCAGCGCCCAACCCTCTAGCTGCAACCTAATCTTTATCCTTCCAGAAAAGAAAATGGAGGGGGGGGGAGAAAGGGGCTGTTTACGGAAGCCAGTTTGGCTTGTTCTCCTTCAAACCAGGTTACAAAAGGAGTGGAGCAGAATCTGCTTTGCAACTGGTGTCTTCACAACTTGAACTAAACTCTCCTGTGCTCTTTAGAGTTGTTGCTGTTCTCCTTAGTAAAACTGACTTTCCTTCCTTCCTTCCCTTTCTCTTTTCCTGCTGTTCTTACTTCCAGCTTTCTCTTTTTCCTTCCTTCCCTTTCTCTTTTCCTGCTTTTCTTACTTCCACTCTCTTTTTCCTTCCTTCCCTTTCTCTTTTCCTGCTTTTCCTACTTCCACCTTTCTCTTTTCCCTTCCTTCCTTCCTTTTTTCTTTTCCTGCTGTTCTTACTTCCACCTTTCTCTTTTTCCTTCCTTCCCTTTCTCTTTTCCTGCTTTTCCTACTTCCACCTCTCTCTTTTCCCTTCCTTCCTCCCTGAGTCCCGCCCTGCCATCTGTATCCAGGTTGCCCTACCCCAGAGGAGGGCCCTGGTGGCTTATTCCCATCCCCTGGCCCTATTGAGCGTCATCCTTTCCAGGCAGCAGGTGCCCCTAAAGCCCCTGATTTGCTGGCATGCTTCCTGTGGGGGAGGGGGTCTGGTTGGCAACGGTGGGAGGAATAAGGGGACTCGGGAGGCCTTCTGGTCCAGTGGGAGAGCACTTTCTCCTGGGGAGACCCGTCACACTTATGCCTCTTTCAGCCCTGGAGAAAACCCTTCTTCCAGCTGTGGGTTGGAGCAGGCTGGCTCTTTTCTCCCTCCCTTCTCCCCCCCCATCCCTTGAGACTCCAACATCGACTCCCACCCGCAGCCTGGCAGAGCGGGCTTCCTCTCATTGTGCCCTGGTTCCTGCCAGCCAGCCGGCCCATCTAAGGGAGGGCCTGCCTTCGAGCTTGGCAGGCGCCCCGTGGCGGCAGTGGGTCTCCGTTTTTCTCCTCCCGACCTCGGCAGGCACAGGAAGCCCCTGACCGGTGGCCCCTTCGTCCTTCCCGTTTTGGGTCTCCCTCCCTCTCCCCCCCCCATGATCTCAAGTCTTGTGCTGGTCAGGCCTCTGCGGCTGCAGGGGGTGAGATTGGGGGCGGGGAGGGAGAGAGAGGGAGAGGCCCTAAGAAAGGACAGGAAGCTCCTCGATGATGGACTTTGTGATATGTGTACACTCTCTCTCTCTCTCTCTTTGTGATGTACACACACACACACACACACACACACACACACACACACACTCTTCCTTGTGGCAAGAGCGTCGTCGGGAGCTGTCTTGCTTCCGGCAGCCGAGGGGCCCGGGACCACATGATCCTGCACGTGAACCAGGGGGCGTTTAGGTTCCTGCAAGTGGCCCCATTTCAAGG